TAATAACGATAGATGTTTTGAATATTTCACAAATATTCTGTAGGTAATTAGTATAATATAACATCAATAAAAATAAATTTTAATTATTATAATACAACAACATCAATAGAAATACATGTTAATTAGTATAATATAACAACATCAATAAAATTTAGCTATATTAATAATAATTAGTGTGAAGCGCTGTGGTATATATACATTTCGAGTGACTTTATTTCACAAAAAGCATGTAGTCAAGCTGGGTTTCATCCTTGTTGCTTTGTTGCGCATCCCCGGTTCGAATCCCTTGGATGAATGGTTTTTTTGGACGACAAAAAGGCTTGAATGCCCTATTAAAAAAGGCAATAAATAAATAAATAATTGAGAGAAAAAGTTACCTGCTATTAGACCATTTGGAGTGGTGCAAGAGTCCAAATGTCAAAAATGGACTCCGTCGATATGAAAACAGTGTTTTGACTCCTATTCTCTGCATTCCAGCACCGTCAATAAAATACACTCTGCACATTTTTTACATATCAATTTAGTAAAACATTAATTACATTATTATAAGTAATATTTTCCTTTTAATTTTTTCTCTGATTAATTATAAAATAAAATAGACACATTTCGATGTAAAAAAAATTAATTTCATTATTTATTTTTTTTCGTTTTTTCCTGAGTGATTTCAAACACATTGGAGCATTGGATTCTCTTCTCAACTTTGTGTTTATCCATAACACATTGGATTCCTTTCTTGAGGAAGACATAACAAAAATATAGTGAAAAAATATGATGATGAAGAATGAGAGAGATGAGAGATGTGTGATTAAAATGAAAAGGAATGAGGTGTTTATATAGAATTTTCGAGCAAAATATTAATTAAAAATAACTGAAAAATAAAATAAATTATTTCAACCGTTAGATTTAAATTTCAGCCGTTGGACCATTTTTTTCCCGTTCAAACAGTGCCAAGATCATCACAGCCGTTGGATCTTTCAAAAAAAAATTAAAAAACAACCCTTGCTAGTGCATGATGACATCATGCTGACGTCACCGTGACGTCAGCGATGGCAAATAATCGGCTCCAGGCCTCTGCTCCCCGCCTGCGCACAGCAGGTATGCCCCCTCCCATTTTTCTTTTCTTTTCCTTTTTCTTTTTGGCTGTCCAAAACTCCTCCAAATTTAACCCCTTCCCTCCTCATACCCATTTTTAATACCCTCTACACTCAACCAATGTATGAAATTAGGAGTCCAAAAATGCCATTTTAACATTTTGGACTCCTAATACCTCACCACTCCATTTGGTCTTAGAGGTAAACTTCAGGTCATTTGGGCTCAATTGATTCTTTTTGAAGAGTAAATGGATTTATATGACTCTTTTTATAGTAAATGGGTCTAAGTGATGGTTCCGCAATAGTAGGAGGGCCTATTTGACCCTTTTTCCGAATTTATGCCATGAGTTCATTTAACTTTATAAGTCAATGTTTCAAAATAAAGTTAAATTGTGTTTAATAGCTCCAAGCCACCAACTTCTCAATAAGATTATTGTTAAGTTGGAAAAGAAATGTCTAGCCTATGGTAATTCATTTTCCGATTTTTAAACTGCAACCATACAACTTTAATGATATCATTAGACTTGAAAACTCAAATTTTCATAAATTATCATATGGATCATATTATATATAAGTCTATAATATATAAAGTGGAATACAAGAGAATAAAAATCTTTTAAACACCCCCAAATCATTTCTATAAAATTGTTAAAAAAGTTCTAATAACTACCAAATCATTGGTAAAATGAAAAAAAGAGTGACACATCTTAAAATGAAAGTGAGAAAAATAAAAGTAGCAAGATTGCATGTGTTAAAGTTTGCTAAATATAAATTTGTCATAATGCTATCTCAGATTTATGTCCACCTTTCTATTAAGGATATTTTCAATTGGAATCAGTTTTTTCGATCTCATTTATGAAATTAAAAGTTATTTTGTAGTTTTGTGTATGTAAATATAATCTTGATATATTTTGGGCGAGAGTTTCAACTCACGAAAAGTTTTATTAATTACATATATAACAATCATATCTCGACACTAAAAGTAATGTTTAAGAGCTAGATAAATAAGCTAGACTGTAAATAAAAGGTATGGAGTAATTCTCTTACTCATGGAGGTAACTTTAATATAGTACTACTTGGTCATGAAAATTGAGATCAATTTTTGTTTCTGAATATGGGACATTTGTCTTTTTATTTTTCCTTTCATAATTTGAAATGTTTGTGTTTCGATTACAACTACCTCTTGATGGGATGAGAATCTTTTTAGAGGTTTTATTCATCTAACTTTCTTCTAAGTAAAAATCGTCTATTAAAGTCTAAACCATGCAATTTTACCTCTTCAATAATACTACCTTCGTCCCCCTAAATTTGGGACAATTTTGAAACAAAGGGGTGTGATGTGGTTTTTAAGAAAATGTTTAATTTTGTGGTTGATATTGAATTGATAGTGTGAATAAAGTAAGAATGAATTCTAACCACTCAAATACTACCAAATATGGTATGAGACAAACTTAATAGGCCAGGACGGACAAAAAAAGGTAAAATGGGAAAAAGTTAGGGGGACGAAGGTTTTACTTAATAAGATCACATATACTTTCAATAACTCGATCTAACGAATAATAAGGTGATCACCGCCAATCACAATATGCAGTCTATTGTCGCCGTCATCACCTTCATTAAAATCAGAATGTCACAAAACCGTATATTCTAAAATCTTTTCTTAAAGAAAGGGATCAAAAGACTAATTTGAAAATTTCTAAAGCTTAGAAGGGCTAATATCTTTAAAACAAACGGACTACACCCATTTTTAGATAAATAAGTTACAAAATGTGTAGTTAGTTTAAAAAACAGTAAGTCACGATTGAAATTTAATGGATAAAAATAGACATTGAACAATTTGCTTTTTTTAGATAAAAATAGATTAACTTCAGTTGGATGCAATTGTAAGTTTTAAAAAAAATGTCATTTTGATTGAAAATATAGACTGAAAACATGTTTAGATAATTAATTTAGAATAAAGCATACTCAATAAATTAGAATATGCACTTTAAATCAATGTTATAATCGACTAAATAACTGATTTTGCGTTAGTAAAACTAAACAACAAAATCATTTTATCCCATGCACGGCACGGGTAAAGATACTAGTACATATACGTACATTAGTATATATACAATCGAATGAAATCCATCATTACAATTAAATAATGCATTTATTTTGCATGTTTTTTAAAATTGGATTGCATACCTCACCAAACAATGCATTTTTATTTTATATGCAAAATGATTGCGTCCCTACACTTTACATGCAATCATTTTACATGTAAAGTATTAATGTCCAAAGAACCAACCAACCCTGTAGTTAAATCTGAATAGAGTGCAGGTTTATTAAATACACTTCAGAAAAACGTGAACAGTGAAGGAAAGGAGAGAAAAAGAAGGGAAAAAACAGGGCGTCTTCGACTCTTCAATATAAACCAGAAACATCCACTGTGAGATGGAAGCAGCATGCAAATAATGCAACAGCGCCATAGTGGTACCAAACTCTACCCTAAGTTCCTGGTATCCATCCATTATTACAAGTAACAACCAAAAATCGAGGTAAATAGTAAGCCGTTTACCCCCCCCCCCCCCCCACGCCGCCGCCGCCCAATTCAGGGATGGAATGGGCCTGTTTGGACCGGCCCAGCCCGGACTGCTACGGTGCGCTACCGGCCCGGCCAACCGGGACCGGGACCGGGCTTCGGGGCCCGAATCGGGGGTTAAATGGGGCGAGCTTCGGGACCTTAGTTTAGTGGACCGGCCCGGCCATAGTCTGGGCTAGTGATGGACTGAACCGGGCCGGTTCGGGCCTCGGGCCTAGGCCCGGCTGGGCCTCGGTTCAGTAATAGCAGGCCCGAGCCCGAACCGGGGTAGGGCGGTCCCGGGTCCAGTTCCGGGCCGGACCGGGCCGAGCCGGTTCAGGCCACCCGGTTTAATTTTTTTTTTTTCCTTTCTTCCCCCCCACCCCCCACCCCCCAAACCCCCCAAACCGGCCTAAACAGATAGCCCAAGCCCAACAGCCCAAAAAAATGAAAAAGATTAAAAAAAAAAATAGATTTGGCCCGGACCCGGGCCCGAACCGGCCGGGCCGGGCCGTCAAACCCATGAACCGAGCCCGGAACCGCCCCACCCCCGGGCCTCCGGCCCGAACCGGACCCGGACCCGGACCCGGAAAACCGGGCCGGGCCGGGCCTGACCCGCACAGTAGCGGGTCGGGCCGGTCCCGGGCCGGGCGGCCCGAACCGAGGCCATGCCTAGTCCGGGCCAAAAGAAATTAGTTTTTTGGCATTGGGATTTGGGGCACTGCTAGGTGGATTGGGCTGGGTAGGCATAGACTGGGCCCAGGCCAAGCCGGGCCTAACCGGGCTTTTTGGGGAAAGTTGAGGCCCAGAACCGGCCCGGTTATCCACCGGGTCCAAGCCGGGCCGGGCCTCGGGCCGGATCATTTTTTATCTTTGCTTTTATAATTAACCCCCGACCTCACCCCACCCCCCGACCCCCCAAAACACCCAGCCCAAACCGGGAAAAACAAAAAAAATTGAAAAAACAAAAAGATGGCCCAAACATGGCCCGAGCCCGCCCTATGTAACCCCCGGGCCGGGCCTACCCAAACCAGTCTCTGGTCGGGCAACCGGGCCGGGCTGGTTCCAAACATTGCCGGGCCCGGTTCGGGCAGCCCGGAACCAGTCCATCCCTAGGGCCTGGGTGTTTTGGCGGGGTTTGGGGGTGGGGGGTTTGGGCGGCCCGGAACCAGTCCATCCCTAGGGCCTGGGTGTTTTGGCGGGGTTTGGGGGTGGGGGGCCAGTACCGGTCCTCAATTCCCAAACCCGTCCCGCCCAAATCCCGTCCTAGGACGGACCTGGGCCCAGTCCATGCCTACCCCTATTGAGGACAGTTGATAAAAAAATTGAAAGTAAAAATCTTAAAATAATGCAATATTGAATGTCTCCATAAGCATGAATAATGCAAAACATCAAATCAGAAAATGTTCAAATAAATATGAAAAACATCACAAAATTTATGATCTCCCATTTTTACCCAAGTCATGCCCAAGGCAAAGACGCCTCGGAGTCTAAACACATTCACTACAACACGATAATGCGTAAATTATTCTGCTATTAATATACCATCACACCAAATTAAGTCCAGAAAGATTCTAACATTGGATGTAAGCACAGAAATAAACCCACAGATTTTTTTCAATAAACGAGCCGCAAATGACCAATGGGGAAATATTTCCCCATGCATAAGCCCACGCATTGGGTTCAATCTCTACTAGAGTCAGGTGAGCCATCACCATAGGAAACCAAGCCACCCTTTGCAGGGGGGCTCCTAGAGTGTGAGACTGACTTTTCTCTACTTCCCAGACGAGGAGAGGGACTTCGCGATCTGCTAGACGACCTTGATCCTGCCGATGGAGTCCTGCTGCGCTGTCTCTCAGCACGTGGTGAAGGACGGAACCTACCCGGTGGAGAACGGCTTCGAAGGGGACTTCGGCTATGACGCCGTGCACGGTAACGTATTGGGCTGCGTGACACACTACGAGACCTGCTTCGGCCATTCCTATATCTGCAAGGGAATAAAATTATTAAAAACAATGAAATAAATGCAATAAATGCTATGTACTACTCTGTCCATGCACATGGTAACATCATCATCATCATACCCCAGTGCCGCAAAGGCTCCCACCTACGTGAAGGGGTATTTTCCATCTGGAAATCTTGTAATGTAAAAAGAATCTACTGGTATCATACCCCGAAGGTTAAGTATAGCATGATGAGGACATCCTATAAGTAGAAATCAAATGGTTCATTACACATTAAATGTCCTCTCGTGCATATACAGTCAATTTAAGTGGAAATCAATGGTGGGTTACAAATAAAATGTCATTCTGTGCCTGGAAGGGCAGTCCTTGGGAAAAAATCACTACCCTCCCCTAAATACACAGTCCAAGAATCAGATAAAAAATTAACTTATGATGTATTCAGCCAAAAAGGAATCTTCCCATTCAGGGGCAAAGAAAAAGCGCAGCATATCATACTGACCTAGGAGGTGTTCTTCCTTTTGGACTCCTGTAGCGTCTAGGTGACCTCCTGTAGCTTGTATATCTATAAACACCAATATTCAAATAATAATGGTAGAGGTGGGAAACAAATAAACCAGCACATGAACAACCAAAATAAATTAAACCAGCACAGTATAAGTTCATAATAAGTAGGCATTTGACTTAATTATTTGTCTTAAATCGACTTTGGGCAAGCGATTTTCCTTCAAGAAATTTCTGAAAATTCAGTTTTTTTAGGATGTTTTCAACTGGACTAAAATTTTCTGGTCTGAAGTGGTCTGGTAGATGTCTGGTCTCTGTATTTTATAACTGTCGAAGTCTGGTCTAAGACTGAAAAGTCCAAGTAAAAACATCCTTAGTCAAATAACCTCTTAACAAACAGGTTCTAGATAAATATAATCATGATAATTGAACACTACAAACCTGTCACGATCATTGCGGCCATAGCGGTATGATGATCTAACAGGAGACCGGCTCCTATACCTGCGAACAAAGGAATATTGCTCACTGAATCCTCTTCCCCTTCTAATACGCTTAGGAGATCCCCCATCAACAGAAGGGCTCTTGGATGAGCTCCTTCCACGACCAGATCTTGGTGACCTGTCCCTACGACCTGCACTTACAGGACTCCTTGAATAGCTACGCTGACTCTTTCTGTAAGGTGCAGCTCGAACTGGGCTGCGACTTGGACCTCTTCTAGAAGCAACCCCCCTGCCTGAACTTCTGCTAGGACTCCTTCGAGAAGTCCTAATAGGGCTCATGCTAGGACTCCTAGGATACCTAACTGGACTTCGACTCTGTGACTTCAAGGATTTCTTAGAAGAGGTTCTTGGTGGGCTACGCGAGACGCTTCTTGGTGTAGAACTCCGGTTTCTTCCCCTTCGAATATTTGTTGGCATAGGGGGAGAAGGGCTCTTGCTAACACTCCTGCCGCGTCTTGCTGGAGGGCTTCTACTGATACTTCTGGACGCGCTCCTGCTTCCACGTTTCACGGGACTTGCACTGCGACTGTTTGGGCTTGGGCCAACACTTGCGCTCCTGCTGACACTGCGTCTAGGGCTTTCACTGAAACTCTGCCTCGGACTAATGCTCATGCTCTTACTCAAGGCCCTCTTAAGGGGGCTTGGACTTCTGCTCCTGCTCATCAACTTTTAATGAAATACCATTTTGCAGAAGTAGGGTCTGTAAGCAATAAAAATAACAGAGGAGAGTGCAAGATGGATGGAAGTGAAACCTAGATTTGCTTGGGCTATTGTCTACAACATCAGGTTGTCTTTCTGGACTCTTATCGGATCTATCACGTGTAACAACATTATTTTTATGCCCACCATTTTCTTTTGGAAATTCATCCACTTCTGTCTCAATTGGGGCAGCAGTAGTCTCTCCTTTCTTCGGGTTTACAGATGCAGCTTGCCTGTCTTCAATAGAATGAGACTGATTTCCATCTGCAACAGTACACCAAGTATCTCCATTTCAAAAGAACGTATAATATAATTACATTACAATATCAATCACTGTAAGAATATGTTTGGAAGACCAAATATGGTAGGAAAAGTAGAGGTAGTATAGAAAATAGTAATTTATTTATAGTTTTATGTTGGAGAATTGAGATTAAACTAGAATGTGATTTTTGAAGAAACATTTTAACATTCCATAAATTTTAAAGTATTTATATAATAGTTTCCATCATTTGCAATGGAGCCAAAGATTCATTATTTTTTGGCTTGAGAATATGATGGAATAAAGCAAAATGGCTCACTAAACTGTCTGCGCTTCTTTGTTATGAAGCAGCAGTCAGTCCATGCAATTTTGGACGCGATTTTCACTATGGGTCATCCGGAAACAATCTCTCTGCACTTTAGTACAGGGGTAAGACTGCGTACATCCGACCCCCCTTACCCCACCGTAGGTGGGAGCCTTTGCGGCACTGGGGTAAATGAAAATGAAATGAAATGATTTATATAATAGCAATACATGCTCCTCCGTCCTATAAAGTCGGTCTTCTTCTTTGCCCCTAAGATAGTGGATATTCTGTGGTTCAAATTTATATAGAAAAGGGGAGAAAACAAAAGCTCAAATTTAAAGAAACATTTTATCATTCCTTATATTGTGAAGTATTTATATAATACTCCTCCGTCCTATCAACAGTTCCACATTCTGTTCCTTGGGGTAAGTTTGAGATTTATTGAGGACCAGAAAAGGAAAGAGTGAAGAGCTTATCAAGGGACAGAGGGAATTAACAAAATGAATTTGAACAAATATCCAAAGTTGATTGATTCATTTTCATCCAATTTTTCAATTTTCCACAATATTTCTTTCCTTCTAAATTCACAGCATATTTTATTCTCCTAGCGCTTCTCAAGCTCCCCAAATATCACATATTAACCGATTGACACAAAAACTATCATATGTGGGAGAAATCTCATATTTAAAGTACTCATATATTCATATACTGAATGCAGCTATATTAATACATATGACCTTAAATGTCACGCAGAACTGCTAACAAGAAAGAAAATGTGATATACCGGGTATCTTTCCGGTGCTTTTATACTCCCCTTCTAGTCCACGAACTTTTGCATCACCTTCAGAATTGCTTTTGCTCTCACCTTCTGAGTGACCGTCTGAGGAGCTGGGATGACATAGAACAAATTGAGTCTCTTGAACAGTTGATCTCTAAATCATAATGTTCTTCCCATTTTCTTTAAAAACTGCTCTCAATACAGCAAAATTGTTTGGTTGATATTTAAACTCAAAAAGAAAATTGATGTGAATCACACAACTCCCTCCTTAAAAGGAATGAGAAGACCTTCTGAAATGCTTCAAAAAGCAAACTGGGAAAAACAGTTCAGAACAAAAGAATGATGATGAAATAGAGAATGACGATGCAAAAGAAATTAGAGTATCTGTACTTGTTACATAAATATAAAACCTTTTAAGTTTGCGCTTTAATTTCTTTTCACGCTTCTTGCGCATTCTTTCACGGCGCTTATCCCTTCTCTTCCCACGTCGATGTTTCTCTCTCTTGGACCTCTTCCTCTTTCTGCTACGCCTTTCATAACTGGATGAGCAAGTGTCAGATGATGAGGAGATGAGCGAATCGGAATCACTGTCAGAATCAGAAGCACTATCAGAATCAGAAGATTCAGAATCAGAATCTGTAGAACTATCTGATTCTGGAGTATAGTGTCGTCTTCTTTTCTTCCTTCTCTCCTTTGAAGATTTCTTGTGCTTCCTTTTACGCCGACCTTTAAGACAAACATAAGATTAAACTCCCACATGTTTTCTAACATCCATGGAAAGAAAATTTTACCAAGGACAATGATTCTTACTCCCATGCATTTCGCCAGAATTTACTATCTTAACAGTGACATCTGGTTTTCCTTCTTCATTACCCGCATTTTCGATCTTCTTAAGGACTTCGTGCCCTTTAAAGAGTTTGCCAAATACAATACATTTCCTGTAAAAAGATTACGGAGTAATTTCCTTCAGGAATCACATTAGCAGAAGACATGTCATTGATTTACTAGAGAAAAAAAAATTATACAAGTCCCATCAGAAAAAAAAAAAGATTCATGTTTCCACGCAGAAAAAAAAAAGATTCATGTTTTACCAGTCACCACAGCAAAACTACCAGATGTCAATTTTTGGAGATAACTTTTAGATTTATTGGTTCTCTTAACTGAATTTAACGCACATCCTTTTGTTTGAGACACTTATCTGGGGGAAAAATCATATTATGAAAACTACTCCGTAGTTTTTTGTTTCAAATGAGACTTCTTTGGGGGCAAAAATAAGGTTTCAAACATCACTCTTTTTGGGGGTGGGGTAAGAGTTTTCAGCAAGTTTGCTTGACCACAGATACAACTCTGATAAACCTGTCAAGATGATGAGCCTCATTAAAAGTGATCATGAATAGAGAGCCCCGTGTATCACGATCAGCAATCGCCATTGTTAGAAGACCTGGGCTATCATGTTTCAGCTTTGGTGACTCGTCTGAAAAATGTGAAAACTTTCACCTGTTATAATTTCTAAAACTGGATATTTTGTTGAATACTCTACTTACATGTATATGTTGCAAACTAATAATAAATCACACAAATATTAAAAGTTCTAACAGTAGAGGAAGAACTTGTGGATCTTCACTTCAGTATAAAAGAGTATATGTAATAATACAAAAACCCTTGAGGGAATCCAGAAATGGGAATGAACTATAAATAAACTCATCACTTTGCTAAAAATGTGCGGGCATTTCTCAAAGCTGAGTAAAGATTGTGATGATGAGAATGAAATAGATAAATGCCAACTGAATATATACTTTGTCCAATAAGATATTATTCTCTTTTTTGTGCACTTGTATGACACTCGACCACTTACCATTTATTTACATAAAAGGAAATGCAAACACTAAAAAGATACAACCAAAGATAGAAACCAAACGAAGTACAAACTAGAAGCAAGGCCATATAAATCCACTAAACATACAGACAGCCACATGTTGAACTTAAACAATCCATTTTAAATCAGTATCTATAGTCACGTGAAGACAGGCAGGCATAGCAGCACTCATATTCCCTACCATTATAAGAGAGGAAACATATGTCCAATAGCATTGAAGCTCCCACGCTTGAGAATTAGATCAAATCAGCCTCAACCTTCATAGTCAATGCAAAAGGAAACCCATTTGATCTTTAAAATTTTGATTTCTTGCTAAAGTTAACATTTTTTATTGTATCAAGTTTTGGACAACCAATATCCACAAAGGACTTCTACGGGGGTGGTTTTTTATCAACTAATTGTAATCTACACATGGACATTTTGACAACATCAAAACAAAGTTGACTATGCGAACAAAACCTTCTCACCTGGAAATTTTCCGCCATATATACTTTCTCCATAGTTCCCTGTGAAGTGGTAAGATTATATCTAAGTTAATAAATGGTCATTTTTTCAAAGACAAGTTAACGGTAATCTAACAAGAGTATTTGTATCATTAACTACACCATATAACCCTTCTTCAAGTCATATTTGGAGATGTAAAAAGTTTTCAAAAACAAATAGAATACATACCATCTTTCCTTAGTAAGTCTCCAGCCTGGAGAGGAAGAAGAAGAAAATTGTTAATTACAGAGTGTAAAACAAAATACATCTACAAGTTGGGCATGAGTATGGTGAAAATCAGGAATTCCAAGTATGGACAACTCAGTAAGTACAACCTTAAAACTATATCACAAGAAAAGCAGTTGTGATCATCATCCCTGCATCCTACAGCATAAACAAGGATAACTGACTAAAAAAAGGAAAAGACCACTTCTAAACCATGCCCAACCATGAAGAGATTCATGCAGCTGGAAAATGAAAAACTACCACAAAAGAAGAAAATAAATAATAATCTTGTACACAGAGGCATATAGACCATACCTGAGCCACAGATCCCTTCACAATTTGATGGAAAAAGGTTCCTTTGTAGTGCAGAGGTGCTCCAGTCTTAGGGCTGATTCCTTTTTCTCCTGAAAACCAAAAAAATTATAACTAAATATATGACTTTGTACTTAGTTGAGATGGTCAGGCACTTTCATCATCACCAAATAACTGAAAAGAACCTTCTACGGCTCTACACTCAGATTTGTAATTTACACGATGTATCATACATCTAACTCACCGGTACAAAGTGCACGGAAATTTTCAGCAGTCTTTGGAGCAGCATCAGTGAACAGCTGCAAGAAGCAACAAGGTGCTAGTTGATCGCATTTTTCACCCCAAATAAAGGTTGGACTATAGAAACAGTAAATTTAAATTAATAAATTACAGAAACATTGGCCTCAATGCCCCACATACCTCAAAACTCATCCTTTCTAATGGATCTCCGTCAATACATATGTCCAAGAACACCAGCACTTTCTTCTTACTCATTATCAAAATTCAAGTGACCACTAAAGCGAAAGAGACATATCCACAATCAGAATTAGAGGTCTTTGCAATTAAGTAAAAACACACTAACCACACTAATAGCTACCAAACACAATAAGCTGACTTCCTGTAATCTTGTTATGTTTGAAGCATACTAATTGACCAACAAAACTCGAAAATAACATACTAATACCTTCAATGGTATTATGAATCTTATCTAACATCTAGTGCTTTGAATTCACTGAATAAATCCTAAATGATGTTTGAGCTAACAATGAAGAAGACTATATATTCCGAATCAACATTGGCTTTTAATGTCTCCAAAGAACTTCTGGCGCACTAAAACTACTTCCAGACTAATAACAATCTAAACTTCTTTAACTAGTCAAAACATCAATAACCTAGTTACGGCATTGAGTCGCACATATATACTAATGCGATGCATACATGACGATAAAGTGAAAAGGTCAATTGCAAATCATTGGAGACTACGGGTGCAGGCAAGCATGTATGTGTATTGTATAAATCGGTGACATGTATATGAGGCGGAGGAACCCCACATAATATTGAGGCGAAACAAAAATAGTCGTCTATATTACTAATCCACCGTTAATAATAGGTACTAGAGAGCGAGAGAGAGAACCTGAAAACGAAATTTGGAGGAACTAAACACAGTGAACTGAGAGAGTCGATAGCGGCGAAGACGATGAGGAGTTAGCTGATAAAAGTAGGATTAGGGTTTCGCAAATTTTTTATTTTCCAGTAGTGCCCATTTTCCTACATTCCTTCTCATCATCACATGAAAAAAAATCCTTTCTTTCCACATGTCAAGCCAACATTTTTGGATTTTTTGGTAGTAGGTAGTAGTACTAAGGGTGTTCGACACTTATTCTGTTTCTACTTCTTTTTTAATGCAAAAACAAAATCAGAATCAGGGGGTGTTTGGAACTGATTCTGCTTCTGCTTCTTTTTTAAAAGCAGAAGCAGAATCAGAATCAGTTTTCAGAAGCTGGTACCCCCCAGCTTCTAAAAAAACTGATTCTGAGAGTAAATTAGAGCTCCAGAAGTGCTTCTGGAATTTCACCCAAACACTCCAGCTTCTGCTTCTGCTCCCTGAAGGAGCAGAATCAGTTTTGAGAATCAGATCCAAACACCCCCTCAATTTCAGAAGCTAGTACTCTCAGCTTTTAAAAAAATAATTCTAGGAGTAAATTAGAGCATCAGAAGTGCTTCTGTAATTTCACCCAAACACTCCACTTCTGCTCCCTGAAGGAGCAGAATCAGTTTTGAGAATTAGGTCCAAACACCCCCTAAATTGGTTTTTTTGTTATTAAATTAAATTCCATTACTATAAAGGATCGGTTTTTTGGTCAATCCACCATTTTACTACCACTATAAAAGATTGGTTTTTATATTAAAATATAAAATTGAGAAAAAATACAAGATAACATCTACACAGTTATGACAATTTCAACCAATTGTAAGCTCTGAGAATAAACATAGAAGCAGTCACCTCATACAAAACAACATGTTTCGCTAGATACGAAACAGGCAATTTAAGCCTAAAACAATTGTGACTGAAATACTGTCTATCAAACATATGTCAGAAGTCCAAATTTCCAAACCAAACCTACTAAAACTAAAATAAAAACAAGTGCTACTAATGGAAAAATAACATTGAAATTAAGTTTTTTCATGTAACTTTTCGCGGCACGGAGGTGCTTCCGGAGGAGGACGAGTTCTACCAATGTCCACGCATTATAGGAGAGAACAATTTAATTGGATCATACCTCTATCAAGAATCTCTGAGTGTTTATGTCACAATCAAATAGTATGGATCACTGCATCACTCATAATTGTTGCTTGAGAGATACGGAAGATAAAATGTTTTTGAGTGAATTCCCAAAATAAGAGTAAAAACGTTTTGAAATTCCAAAATAGGACTATCATATTTTTTATTCTCTAAATAAGAGTAAATTTCTGCCAAGTTTGGCATTACTAGGCTTTAAACATGACATTTTTTCTCAAACTTGACATATTACTCCTATTTAAGGAATAAAAAACATGTTAGTCATATTTTGGAATTTCAAAACATTTTTACTCCTATTTAGGGCAATTTCTGAATGCTTTTTGGTTATAATAGGAGAAAATAATATACATATCTCAAATTTTGTAGGAGTATGAGATAAATATTCTAAACTTCTATATACAATATATATATATATATATATATATATTTCGGGGTATATATTTTGAAATTTGTATTCAAAGTTATTTTCACATTATGGTTATATATGTTTTTATAAATATAAATTAATTGTATTAAGTTCATAATTTAGAAAATTATAAGTTTTGTTTAGATGCACTTAACACTCCGAAATTTCACTTGTGCAATAAATAATAGGGAAAAGGGTTAAATAGGCACTCGAACTTACATAAAAAGGTCAAATAAGTCCTTATGTAGGAGGCTTTGTCTGACCATCGCCATTTGGGGCAGTTCCCGGTTGAATGTTTTGATGAAATTTGTTGAGCATCTTATTCATTAGTCTAGTTTACTCATACCAAGTTTCAGCTAAAACTTCAATCGGGAAGGCATTCAAATGAATTCTTGAAGATAACTGCGTAGTTAAAAGCGCAGTTATCTTCAAGAATTCATTTGAATGCCTTCCCGATTGAATTGTTAGCTGAAATTTGGTATAAGGAAACTAGACTTAATGAATAAGATGCTCAAAAAAATTCATCAAAAAATTTCATGGGGAACCGCCCCAAACGGCGACGGCGGGAAAGAGCCTCCTATATAAGGGCTTATTTGACCTTTTTATGTAAGTTCGAGGGCCTATCTGACCCTTTTCGCTAAATAATATTACCTCCAGTACAATCTAATTTTAATTGAACCCTCATAAGTGCTTTGTGTATTTTAGATTAGGTACTTACCCCATAAGAAATACATTTGTGAAAAAATATATGGTCATGGTTGAGGTAGGGGTACATATATTATATGTGCAGATTTGGGGTACTTATCTCACACACCTTCAAATTTTGGGATATTTGAAATATTTTTCCCGTCTAAATATGTCCAAATCCTTGTAGGATGTTTAATTTTTTTAAAACAGGATAAATAATACAACAACAAACAACAAATATCCAAGCCTTGTTTCCAAACGATCCCCAAAATTGATGGCACTATAGTCGTTGTGTGGCTCAAAATAAATACAATACTCGCACAAATACTATAGTACAGTGTAGTAAGGTTCGTATCCACAGGGAAAATATACTTCTCTTTTTATCTTTTTATAGAACTAGTAACAAAGGGGGGTTTAAGATTGTTGTTTGAACTTTAAGTATATTTAAACATTAAGTTGAACGACATATGTGGTTTAGTTAATTAGAGATGGAGACTTGGTTTTGCTTATATCAACTTAATGAAATGTTCGTCGATCCCGGTTATATCTTTAACTATCTTTCTCTCGAATACTCAATCGTGGAGTATCTCCAATTCATTGAGGGTAGTTATTAATAATGAGACGTGTTCATTAACAAAACTTACTATCAAATCAATATAGAACATGCGTCGTATATTAACCCGATATTAGCAATAAAATTTAAGATAAAATCGATTGAGATGGATAACCTCAACACAAGCGGTTTATTGATTTAATACATATGATTAATTCCCCTTAGATTATTTACCGTGAAACGCATGAATTAATAATTCAAGTTTGCTACTGTGAAAGGACCGAACGATTAACAAGCATATTCGTCGATCGATTCTAGTAATAATTAACATATGAAACAAAACTAGTTGATCCTTCAAATATGGATATAAAATAGGAATGTAATTAATATTCAAGAAAGATGGTTAAAGAAAATAACTCACGACTTACAAATCATAAACTTCAACGTAACAAAAGCAAGATGAAAGGGTTTAGCTTCTCATTTGAAGACTAAACATGCAAAAAATATTAAGAAAGTACTTGACTAAACTAAGCTTAGAAGTATAAAGGAATTGGCAGTTTAAATGTGAAGGAAAGGTGTGTATTTATAGGTGTTTGTAGGTGGCAAGGTTATGTACCCGATCGGGTACCTTCAGCAGTTTCCCGGAAGCTACAAAAATCACACATACCCGACCGGTATGTCGATCTACCCGATCGGGTATGAGACTGAATCTTCAAATATACTTAGATACGACCATTTGTTTTCCAGATTTTATTTTGATCTAACCGGGTCCGGTCGGGACATAACCGGCGCCGGTTGGGCCGATTTTCTGCAAAAACACAGCAACGTGCAAATGATTCTTGATGGGAAAACTTCATCTTCCTCAATATCTGATCAAATATTGCTTGCATACCTGATTGTTGGGCTCGAATAGACTAAAAGATGTCATTTGTTAGCCTATATAAAGCCCTCAATTCATCAAGCAATAACATTCCATTCCATAGATTAATTCCTAGTTTTTACAATTTGTTCTTGCTGTTTTTCTTCAAGTTCTTGAGGAGGAAACTTCAACCTCCGAAATCATTGGTGTTGAGGTATTATTTCCTTTGTAATTTCATGCTCCATTACACTTCAATATTGCATTGTGATTAATATGAGCATTAGAGGCTAATTTCTTAGCTAATGATAGGGATGAACCTCTATGCACACTAGGTGTTTGATAAAAGTTCTAAACCAATAAATTGTGATTTATCCTTTATATTTTGATTGTTTATGACTATGGTGTACAACATAGAAGTATGTTTAATTTAGTTTATGCTTGCAATTAACGTTGAAGTCTAAACTATGAACATTAAAGGATAAACATATATAGTACTGAGAATAGAAATATATCTGGTCTTATATGATACGGGTGTGATGTCTTGATATTCAACGGGGTTTTCGGTAGATGAATGTAAGCTGTAACGGGACCTACACGTAACGAAAACCACGCTCTCGCTGTCTTAACCGGAGTTGAGAATATATTAGCGACATCGTATTCATGATTATTGGGGAAGAACTATTATTAAATAACTATTAAAGCATTTAGGTGAATCCCGATTGCCTTAGTAACTCTCATTCTTATTTAAATCAACCTCAAAGAACAAAGTTCCTGAAAAACTATACCATTTATATTCTTTTGCATTCAATACTCGACTTTATAATATCAACCATTTCCTCGTGGATCGACCCGGTATTTACCGGTATTTTATTACTATATCGGCACTTGTATACTTGCAAGTTTAGCCCGATCACTAAAGATGATATCCGAGAGGAATTTCCCAATGAGACTCTTTTCTCTCTAAGGGACAGTCACCCTTGGTAATGCTCACATTGTTAACTTTCTTGTCTTAAACAAGTTTCCACCAAACTTCTCTAAATCCCAAAGAGAAATTCCAACATGATGTCAAACAATATGTGTGGGATGAACCTTATCTATGAAAACATTGCAAGGATCAAGTTATTCGAAGGTGTATTCCTGAAACGAAGATAACATCCATCTTTGCATTTTGTCACTCACATGCTTACGGAAGACACTTTGGCGGAAAGCGAACATCAATGAAGGTACTCGATCGTATGCGGTTTTTGGTGGCCAAGTTTGTTCCGGGATGCTCATATTTTTTGTCAAACTTGTGACAATTGTCAACGAATGGGAAACTGTAAGGAAGAAATTGTATTTAGATTTTGATGATGCTAGATTAATTAGAATATTATAGCACCCCCATTGGAAAATTGTATTAGAAATTTCCAAGTGTAAGCACTAGAATAATCGTCTGGACAGAAGACCTTCAAGCCCTTTGCTGAACTCTTGCTGGATGGAAGTGCTCGAGGCCCTCTGTGATTGCCCCTCTGTACAGCACACCAGAAATCCTCACACTTAGCCAATTCTCAA